ATGCATGGGTGCGTTGTGCATGGTGTAGGACAGCTGGGACCAGTTGTGGTGGGGGAAAAGCGAAGTTGTTTTCGGATGTCCATGCGATCGAGAACGCGTCAACTGCGATGGCTTCCGGGTGGGGAATCTTTGTGCAGAAGCGCGACAGTTGGGTGTTGCGGGAGTTGGCAAAGAGGTCGATGGAGTGGGGACCCCAACGACGTTCCAAGATGCGGAACCACGGCGTTTTCAATGCGTAATCATCGTGGTCGACCATTTTTGAAAGCTCGTCGGCGTGTGAGTTGAGCTCGTGCGGAATCCATTCGATGATCAAGCGCGTGCCGAGCTCCATGCATGTATGGATGATGCTCTTGCAGGCCGTTGTGAGGTCGGGGCTATGAGAGCCGCCTTTGCGAAGGATGAAGAATACGCCCTGGTTGTCCACACGCACGAGAACGTGTTTCTGCTTGATCTTGTTGGCGTACGTTTGGAGCGCCCAAAGGACTCCTTCGATCTCCCGCCACGTGCTAGACGTTGCTCGTAGCGGCTCTGACATGGTTGTGCTAGCTTCTTCACGGCCACCAGGGAATGTGGTCAGAGTGGCGGCCCAACCGTGAGAGCTGGCATCCACATGGATTACTGCATCGTAGCTGTTCCGGACGTCAAAAGGTGCACCGTTGAACCAGTCAAACTCCTCAAGCCAAAAGTGTAGCTCCGCTGCTGCGGATGGGGGAATGACCACGCTGCTTTTCCATGACGGTGCATCGTTGATCACTTCTAACATGGCATGGCTGAATGCACGAGCGGTCGCGCCGAATGCGACACCCATTGATGCGAGCATGCCTGTGATTCTGGCCATGTGGCGGACCGGGACTGGTCGGCACGCATTGCTTGCGCTCAGGAGGTTCTGGATGGTTGAATGTAGCGAGGCTCGTCGGTCGGGAGCTATGGAGAATCGGTCGGTGTCTGTCTCAAGTTCTACACCCAAGAATCGGAGGCGTTGTGATGGTGACAGCTGTGATTTCTTCGCGTTTATCACAAAACCTGCCTTTTTAAGGTCCAATATCACCCGCTGGCAGATTGCTTGCGCATGGGCTTTCGACTGACAGAGAAATAAAATGTCGTCCACATAAGGTATGACTCGGATGCCTTGTTCTCACCAACGCCGAGCTAGCTGTTTGATCAACTGCGTGAAAACGAATGGAGCTGTCGCGAGGCCAAATGGCAGTGAACGGAATGCGTATGTGCGCTTGTTGAATTCAAAGCCAAGGAACTTCCAGCATGATGGGTGGATGTCGATGTGTTGGTATCCAGACTTGAGGTCGATAGAGAACATCCAGTCCCCAACGCGTGCCAGGTCGGCCACACGGCTGAGCCCCTCGTACTTGAACTTGGGGACAATCAAGTTGGCATTGACTTTCCTCAGGTCAAGAATGAGTCTGCATTTGTCTTTTTGCCCGACCACGTTTAGTGGACTTATGCACGTAAGCTCCGTTGCGGGCATCGGGACTGCTGCTCCGGTCTCTATGAGTTCTTGGATGGCGGTACGTGTGAATGTGGCATGCATGTTCGCCCCGACATGGTTGCGATCGTGGAAGGGATGTGGTGGGCCGTGGCTCCATGGCAGCCAGTAGCCCTTGGCGATGACGGAGAGGACAAGGCTGCAGGGGCACCATGAACTCCACCACGCAAAGGTCGCACGAAGCCGACCTCGCATCTGTGTAATAGTTTTGTCCGTAACGGCGAATTCATACGGATCGTCGTAGCATACCACCTCGCACCGTCGTGCTCCTGTGTAGTGGAGGCAAAATGGGGTGATCATTGGGTGTTTCATTTCAAACCATCCGTATGCATGTACGAGCAACCATTTATCAAGATGTTAACACCATCGACAATCTATCGAAATGTCAACGAGTATGTCGGGTACGCGCCGGCGCTTCTTGTTTCTCTCCTTGCAAAAAACCTCCTTTTTTTTTTGCCTCGCCTCCTTGTCCAATCGATAGGACGTGCCCTTCAATCATTGGAGGTTGATGCCTAGGAGCATGGACACACTTGTCCATCGTGCTTGATCCCGTTGTATCTCGTTCTCTCTCTCTCTCTCTCTCTCTCTCTCTCTCTCTCTCTCTCTCTCTCTCTCTCTCTCTCTCTCTCTCTCTCTCTCTAATGGTAATTGTATTGATAGAGTAGCAAAGTACAAGCATGCAGGTGTTGAGATTCTAGAACAAAACAGAAACCACAACACAACACTTCCTACCCATTTCCTTCTCTAGAGCTCTAGGTAGGGCTCAACCACCGCAAAACAGTCCCCGGAGTGAAGCTCCTGACCAATGCCACCTACGGGCGGGTTCTCTGCTGCTGCCGCCTCGCCCAACTAGAGAAGTAGGCCAACCGATTGGGCCCTTTGAAGGGCCACTGACCAGCGCTGCCGAAAAAGGTGCAGAAACTTGGCGGCGTAAAAGGATTTTGAGTCGGCGTTGAAATGCCGCCGAGCCGCAGTATCCGCGAGTAGTTTTAGGAAGACAGGGACTTCCGCGCATGGACAGCCATAGGTGTCTACCGCTAGTGGGAAAAAAACTCACTGTCTCTGGCCGGTTGGCATAGTGCTTGATTTTCTTATCAGCCTGTTCCCGAGCCGCCCAGCCCCTGCCTTTCTCTGCCTCTCGGTCCCTCGTGCTGATAGGGTCATTGACGGTGACGTCACACACGTAAACTGCCCCACTGCTTCTATCCGTCATGGTGAAATCTGCGGTTTGTTCCTCGATGGGGCAGAAAACAGCCGACTCGCTGTGAACGATGAAGCCTGCGTGCTGCGCCATGCTAATGCAAGCATCCCGCAGCTCATTGTGGGTATTAATGCGATGCTTGCCCGTGCCGCAGCGGAGGAGGTGGTTCGGGAGGCGAGGATCTGTGATGGCTGTCCGTTCTGCGCAGTCACAGTTCTTAGGCGTGGAAAAGGGGAGGCCCAGCCTAAACCGCACGGCGTTTGCGAAGTGCACAGGGCCGATTCGTCTAGTGGCCTCGATTGGAATCGCCGTCAGCCAGTCCCCGGTGCCATATCCAGTCAACGAGAACATCCGCTGCGTATGGCCCGAGAGAGGGTTTGGTTGCATTTTCCTGGCTGCCTGGACCTGCGCAGCATATCTGCTCCCGTGCACCTTCAAGCCGAGCCCGTGCTGGAGCCTAACGTCCGATCGCTCTAACCGCTCCTTCTCCAGGATCTCCCGCGCGTCGAGGGGCAGGGCTGCTTCACACTCCGTGAGCCACGAATGTAGGGGGGTGCTGTCATCCCGGGGCGCCACCATGTGGTTCTTGGCCAGCGTCAGCGCACTGTCTGGTTCTAGCACGAGGGAGGAAAGAAAAAGGGCCGCTTGGGTGAAGCTCGCTGTGAAACCGTAGGTCCCTTCTACGAGCGGGTCCGTTATGCCGATGCCGCCAAGTGACGTCGGCAATGACGCTTGTTCCCAGACACGCTTTTGCTCGGCGCCACACGTTGGCGCGCGGATGTCGCATGAGGTGAGTAAGGTTATGAGTAGGTCCCTTCCCCACTGGCTCCAGGTGGTGCGAGGGAGTAGGTGGAGGGGAGTCGTCCTAATGAGGTAAGCTACACGCCTGGAAATACATCGCGTGAGGAGTAGTGCTGCCACCTGGGGGTCAGCTCGCTCTATCAGCGGTAATGGCTTAGCCATCCCTTCTAGCTGGCCCGAAAGAAACCCGGCTGCTCCGGCATCAGTCCCAACGTAGCTACCTAGGAGCCGTACTCCGTCCTTTGAAAACGGCACCCCGGGCGGAAGTTGAGTCTGTGTGACTGTGGTTGAACTCCACTCCGCGCATTTCTGAGGGTTATGCATCAGGCCCAGCTGCGCTAATTTGGCTGTGAAATGCAAGAAGGCCGCTACAGTACGGGATGGGTCACCCAGGAAGGTGACGTCATCCGCATACGCCAAGCAAAGCACGTCGGGGTGTGCTTCTGCAGTGTCGCGGAGCGTGGGGTGTATCCCTGCTGCAAACAATAGCGGGCTGAGTGGGTCCCCCTGCCGCACGCCCCGTTCACTGAGCAAGGGTTCGGAGTCGAATTTCGTGTCCAGGAGCAGTTGCGACGGGTTACCGTAGGTCAGTTTCACGAACGGCTGCAGTGGCAAGAGTTCAGGGTCGCGTAACGCTGTGGCTATGGCATGTCGCGAGATACTGTTGAAAGCGTTTGAAATATCCGCCTGCAGGACCAGGCAGTTGGGGCGGGCATCCAGAAATGCTCTGGCTGTGTGGATTACCGTCTCTGCTCCACCTGGAACTGCCACGCCGTACTGAAGTGGCAGGAAATATTCTCGGGCAGCTTCCCCTATGGCTGTCAAGGCTGCCTTGGTTGTCAGCCTTGTCAAACACTCGCCTATCGCAATTGGCCGGGCCCCTCCCCCAGGTTTGGCCAGGGCTATCAGCCTCGACGCCGTCAGGAGGTTCGCGATTGGGCCTGGCAAATTTCCCCCCAGCAGGGTGTTGACCAAGGCGTGCAGGTGGGTGCTAATCATTGCGTTAGTGGTTGCCGCGTCGCGCATGTGCTCAAATGTTGTGCCAGAAGGTCCGGCCCCCACCCCGTTCTCGCATCTTCCCAGAATCCTGGCAAACTCGGCATGGGTGACGGACAGTTTCGACTCGGGTGGCACAGGCCAGGTCACCGCCTCGTGTACAGCAGGTGGGTGTTTCTGGCGAAGCTCCTCCAATATTTCCGGGCTGGGGGTGCAGACCGGCGTTGACTCCAGTGCCAGCACGGCTCGGCGTAGACTCCCCCGTTTCGCGAGCCCCTCAGCTCGGCTGATGACTCCGGTCGCGTCAGGCTGGTGTCGTGGCGGTGGGGGTGTATTGACCGCGTCCACCGTGTCCAGGTACAGCTGTTCCCATTCGCCACGCTGGAAAGCTCGGAGCCGGGCCTTGACCCCCCGCCAGTCTGGTCGCTGTGGCGAGGTTTGGCGAAGTGTTAGGCGAGGGAGAAAGCGCAGCAGACGCCAGCCCGTTTCGGATTCGGGATTTCATGAGAGGTGGAGTAACGGTGTCAGAAGCGCCTGCGAAAACAGCTGGCATAGATTTGGCGGTAAACGCCGTGACAGCGGAGGCTGTCGACTGTCGCAGAGAGCTGCAATGTCCCAGCATGCGATGGCCGCGAACAAGTCATCACGTCTCGCCAGCTCGTCTGGCGAAAAGTAGCGGGGGTTCAGAATGGTTTGGCGCGTCGCGGTGTTGGCAGCGGCGGTTCGATTTCGTCGACCGCGGCTCGCCCGTGTTGGTGCGTCGGTGGTTTGATTGCCACCCGTCCGATCAGCATCTGACGGTCGCTGATCCGCTTGCGGTATTCGCATGGTCGAGCGGCCCACCTCGTTTGCTCGTCTCCCTTCTGCCTCTCTCACCCTGCCTTCTCCCTCCGATTCCTCGTCCTCGCTTGGTGGGAGGGATTCTTCCCTATAAGGTGGGTCCCTTAGATCTTCTTCGTCATTAGTTGCTGCTAACACCGTTAAAGCCCTTCTCGCCGCCACCTGATACCCATTCTCTGGTCCTCCGCCCGTTCCGCTTACGGTTTCTCTCCTCGCCCCACGGCTTCCCTGCTCTCGAGATGGTGATTGCCGGAGCACCTGAGCCGTCGCCAGGGCTCGCTGCCGCCTGGTCGGCTGTGGTCGCCAGGCCTCCGGCGGGGCCCGAAAGGGCGACCATGGCGACGGAGCCCCCTCTACCGCCGGCTCCGAAGCACGTGACAGCAGTCTCTGAAAAGACTCCTCCCCACGCACCCGCGGCTCCCCTTGCCGGGGCAGAGGCTGGCCCGACCGCTCCCGCTGCTGTTCCGTCTGCTCCGCCTGCGTCACCAGGCTCCCTGGCTCCCCTTGTCGAGCCGTCGGCGTCTGCCCCTGCTGGGGGTGTTGCTGAACCCCCTGCACCTGTCCCTGGCGCCCGTGTTGCGCCGAACGCTTCTGCCCCCTGCCTGCCTGCGCAGGCCTCTGCTTCGTCACCAAAGGCGGCGTCCGCCACCACTGGCGAACCGGCTCCGTCGGTTGCGCCCGCGCCGGCGGGTCAGTCCGCTCCCGCTGTGACGGCGGTGGTTCCTGCAGGCCAACCGTCACGCCCTCCGTCGCCTGACCGTCGCTCGTCGCGGCCCCATTCCCCCGCTCCCCACCAGGACCGCAAATCATCTCGTCGCCGGCGTGAGTCTCCACGGCGGTACCAGCAACAGTCGCGCTGGCCTGCTCACCCCGGGGGTCAAGGGGATTGGAGGGGTTCCCGTGCTCGTGGCGGGGGTGGGGGGTATCGCCCGCCTGTGACGATGGCGGATCTTCAGCGGGAAGTGTCGAGGGCGGTTCGGGAGGAGAGGGCGGCGCAGAGCCAGAGCAGTTCGCTGCGCGCCTTGCCAGCCCGCGAGGCTCCCCGTCCAGCTGCGCTCCCCCCAAACCCGCAGCCTGTTGCTGCGCCTCCCCCCCAGATCCAAGCGCTGCCAGCTCCTTCTCTCTCTCTCTCTCTCTCTCTCTCTCTCTCTCTCTCTCTCTCTCTCTCTCTCTCTCTCTCTCTCTCTCTCTCTATCTTTCTCTCTCACATTCTTTCCCTTGCTCTTTAGTGCATGAAGGCTGATGCTTGGGACCATGGACATGCTTGTCCACCGTGCTATATCTCGTTCTCTCTCACTCTCTCTCTCTCTCTCTCTCTCTCTCTCTCTCTCTCTCTCTCTCTCTCTCTCTCACACACACACACACACTCTCTCTCTCTCTCGCTCTCTCTCTCTCTTGCTATGCACCTCCTCTTGATTTTTTAGAGGGACTTTGCCAAAATAAGTGGGCCTTTGAGAAGGAGTTATTTATTAATCAACCAACACACATAGCAATGCTTTCCTAGCATGCATCACGCCACCGAGTGGCCAACTTCATGGGACCGAGGGGTTTGTTGTTCCCCTTTCCTATCCTAGGCCCAAAGAATATTTCTACCCTTCACTAGGGCTGGCCTCTTGCCATCGCAAACCCCTAGGGTTGCCCACGGTTTTCGCACTCAAGAGTGCACCGTGCCTAGCGCGCAAGTGCCTAGTGCCATGGCCCGCTCCTACACCACCGAAGCGGGTCCTTGGCCGCCATGCCCGTTCCTAGGTCAGGCACTTGCCACGTGGCCCGGCTGGCCGCAACGGAAGCACGAGCCCCGAAACCCACGGCAATTGGCCGTGGGCGGGGGGCCCCGCTTGGGTAAGAATGGCATCGGCGCGTTGTTTCCGCCGCGGTTGACACGAGCGTATCCGCTTGCCGCCCGGTCCATCGCCGCCATGTCCGCGACCGCCTGCTTGAAGGGTTGAAGCGCTTCGCCGTGCGGAAGTCGGAGGCGTCCTCCACTTGAAGCACCTCATAACGCCCCGAGATGAGGTTGAGAGCGTGCGAGATGAGTTCGAGTCCTCCCGCCGGGTCCCCGCGCTGCGCCTTGTATTCCGCGTGCAGCATGTACGCGCGCAAGTCCTCCAGCAGCTCCGCTTGCTCTCGCACGGAGTCGTTGACGAATGTTGCTGCCGAAAATGTGAGGTTAGAAGAAGGGAGGGGGGGAAGGTGTTCCGTGCCATTAAAATTAACATTGTTGACTGGAGCCTCACCGACTTCATCTTCAGAGTCGTCGGTGTCATTGTCGGCCGCTGGAGCAGGGGGCGATGCTGTCGCTGCGTCGTTGTCGTGCCGATACGTCCTTGCTCCTCGCGTGCCTTTTTTCTTTTTTCGCATTTTCTTTTTTAGCCGACGCCGATGCAGCCGGTAGTGCAGTTTCCGCGGCTGTAACGCTGACGGGCTGCTGCTGTAGAAGGGATAGCAGCGCGTTGACCTGGTCCGGGGTCAACGCCTGCGTCAACGCAGGGGCGTGTCAAACTTATATGCTATAGTCTGTTAAGGCTGTAGCGGGGTAGTTCGTATAGGGTGCAACACTTTTAGGTTTCCCACTTGTACCCACCTGCTTGCTAATTCAGTCACTCATTCGTAAACTATTCTGACATGGTATTCTGAGCAGGTTCCCTAGTGGGAACGTTTTTTTAGGGCCCACCACGATTATTTTTTTCCTGCCCTGCCCGAAGCGCGCCTCGCGCCCTGCTCTAGTACGGCCCGTCGCGGCCCTGCCTTCGCTGGCCCGTCGCGGCCCTGCCTTCGCTGGCCCGTCGCGGCACTGCCTTCGCTGGCCCGTCGCGGCCCTGCCTTCGCTGGCCCGTCGCGGCCCTGCCTTCGCCGCCCGTCGCTGGCCCGTCCCGGCTCATCCCGGCCCGTCGCCGCCCGTCGCTGGCCCGTAGCCGCTCGTCGCGGCCCTGCTTTCGCCGCCCATTGCGGCCCTGCCCTGCAGCTGCCCTGTCGCGGCCCTGCCTTTCGCCGCCCGTCGTTGGCCCGTCCCGGCCCGTCGCCGGCCCGTAGCCGCCCGTCTCTGGCCCGCCGCCGCTCGTCGCGGCCCTACCTTTGCCGCCCTGTCGCGGCCCTACCCTGCTGACGCCCCAGTTGCGGCCCTGCCTTCGCCGCCCGTCACGGCCCTGCCCTGCAGCCGCCCTGTCGCGGCCCTGCCCTGCTGCCGCCCCAGTCGCGGCCCTGACCTAAACCGCCAGCTGCGGCCCTGCCCTGCACCCGCCCCTGGTAAGCACCCGCGCCGCGCCGCCAGGAGCCGAGCCGCGCCGCCTAGCCAAGCCGCGCAGCCCAGCCGAGCCGCGCCGCCCAGCCAAGCCGCGCCGCCCTGCCGAGCCGCGCCGACCTACCGAGCCGCGCCGCCCTACTGACCCGCACTGCCCTGCCTGCGCTGCTCCTGCTGCTACTGCTACTTCTGCTGCCACTGCTGCTACTGCTGCTCCTGCTGCTACTGCCGCTATGGCTAGCCCTAATGTTCTTACCTTTGATGCTGAGGGGCGTGCAGTTGACTTTGACGTGTGGGTTGACGACCTGCAGCTCTTTCTTCAGTGTGACTCTAGGGACGGGGTATCCCTTTTCGATCACACGTCCGGTGTCTCTACTGCACCTGCTGCCACTGCTGATAATACGGCTCGCTCGCAGTGGACCGCTCGTGACGCTGTTGCTCGCCTTGCTGTTCGTAGTCACCTGCCGTCTGCTGAGCGCGCGCACTTTGGCCAGTACAAGACGCCAGTGGCGCAAGTGGCGACGGCTGCTGGCGCGGCACACGCCACTGACGCCGAGCACACGCCAGCTCCCACGGCTGGACCGTCGCGTCAACACCAGAGGAGGCGGACGGCGGTCTCCTCGTCTGACGCGACGACCGCCCTGTCAGAATTGTGAACGAGTGACTGAACTAGAAAGACGGTGGGTACAAGTAGCAAACCTAAAAGAGTTGTACCCTATACGAACTACCCCACTACAGCCTAAACAGACTATAGCATATAAGTTTGACACACCCCCATAGGCAAAGTGGGGGAGAACAAGAGGTCACAAGACCAGTCAAGAAAGGCAAAGCAAGCTCAGGGTGGATCACAAAGTCACCACGCAGTCTGATCACAAGCAAATGGCCACAAGGCCAGTTCACATGCAGAGTTATATAAAGGAGAACAAACAATACAGTGAACACAACCTAGCAAGTGTAAGCATGCAGGTATATGTATAGAGAGTACAGTACAAGCAGAGTCAAGAAGTAAGCAAGTGAGGCACAGTAGGTACAAGGCCTAGAACAGTACAGAAACGCTGATGATCACAAGGCTGAAGTGCCTTGGTGAAAACATCAGCAGTGTTGGCCTGAGAGGCCACGCCGCTGCAACTCTCGAGCAAGGAAGTAGCGCAGAGCAATGTGCTTCGTTCTGTGCTCCAGTATGTGCTCCTGACACAAGGCAAGCATGGCCTTGTTGTCGACGTACAGAATTGGAGGAGAACGAGGCGCCTCTCCCAAGTCGGTCAGCAGGTAGGTGAGCCAGGGTAACTCCTGTGCAGCCATGGCCCCAGCGTAGATCTCAGCCTCACAACTAGAGCTGAGAACAGAAGAAGAGCGGGTAGACCGCCAAGAGACAGAACCGGAGCCAAGACTGAAGGTGTAACCCTGTGACGACCGCTGCGAAGCCAAGTCGTCAACCCAGAAAGCGTTTGCGTAACCAGTGAGGACAACTCGAGCCCGTCCTCCAAGCACGAGCCCCATGCCAGAAGTACTGCACAAGTAACGCAACACCCTCTTTGCAGCACCCCAGTGCACCTTTTGGTGCCTACCGGGAGCCACGTAGCGAGCCAGAAGGCTGAGAGGGTATGCGAGGTCAGGTTGTGTGCAAGTCATCAGGTACATGAGGCAGCCCACAAGCTCTGGATACGGGCCACTCGGCTCTACGGACTCGTCCGAAGGTGGAGCTGAGAGCGAGTGACCGGTAGGCAGAGGAGTAGACTATGGCGAGGAGTACGTGAAGCCGAAGCGCTGAAGGACCTGCTGCACCATGTGTGACTGAGTCAAGGTAATGGTGCGCTGTGCTCTGTCCTGGGTGATCCGCAAGCCAAGATAGCTTGTCAGCTCACCCAGGTCTGTGCACGTGTGTCTCTTCTGCAGCTCCGACTTCACGTGGGCGAGTGCCTCAGTGTCAGCAGTAGCAAAGACCAAGTCATCTACGTACACGAGAACGTAGAACGGTGGCAGAGTGGCGTCGGTGCGTAGAAACAGCGACGGGTCAGCAGTGGAAGGAGCAAAACCAAGAGCAGCAAGAGTCGTCCTGAGTGTGTCGTGCCACTCACGGGGTGCCTGGCGGAGACCGTAGACTGGCCGCCGGAGGCTCCACTGGGTACCAGCAGGAAACGACCCAGTGAAGCCAGGTGGGCGGCGCAGCCAGATCTCCTCGTGCAGGCTGCCCTGTAGGAAGGCTGTGCTGAAGTCAAGCAAGTGGAGCTCATAGTCACGCTGAGCGACGACGTGTAGCAGTACCCGAAGAGTGGTCATCTTTGGAGTAGGGGAGAAGGTCTGGAAGAAGTCAACTCCCTGTCGCTGACTGAAGCCTCGTGCAACGTAACGCGCCTTGAAGACAGGCGGAGAACCCGGCGGCCGCTTCACCCTGAAGATCCACATGCCACTGACGATGTTCGCCCCAGGCGGGGGAACCTCGTCGACGTAGGTGCATGTGGACTTCCAGGAAGCCATCTCGACGTCCATGGCTGCCTAACACTGAGAGGAGTAGGGACTCTCTATTGCCTCTGCGTAAGAGCGCGGGGTCGGGATGTCTGGTGCATCCGGGTCTCACTCAGGGGCAAGCAGCATGGACACGAGATGAGGTACAGCAGCGGCAAAGCACTCAAACTCCTCCTGTTTGTCCTCAAGAACGTCCGTGCCAAGAGCACATTCACCCCCGACGGACGGAGGACAGACACATGCAGACGCAGACTCAGCAACAAGACTAGTGGCGTAGTCTAGGCGACAGGCTGCAGCAAAGTCAACAAGCTCAGCAACGAGAGCAGACGCAGCAGTGGACTCAAACAAAGGGTCATTGACAGCAGTGGCCAGAAAGCGCGTGACAGTAGGACTAGCAGCACGAAGG